CTCCTCCTTCGTGGGCTGCCTTCCACCTGGCTGTCTTCCTGTTTTATTGAGGGAAAGGGAAACCCTTCTGCATGACACTTGTCTCCTCTCTCTTCACGGGGCCACACATGCCTTTCAAAGTTCAGTTGGAAAACCTTGTCACATTTGCTATTTCAGTCATCATCTATGTGCTCAAGACGTGTTTCCTGATGATGTCTCTCCACATTCCTCGATGTTCTCACAGGAGACGAGTGCAGGCTGAGAGTTCCTCTTCTTTGAGCACTTTTCACCCACCTCCACCCCAGAGTAGATACCTTCCTCTCTGGAGGTCTAGGAAGCAAGTCCGTACAGTGCTGCAGCAGGGTTCCAGGCTAGGAACAACACTTTCAAGTCCACCCATCTTTGCCCCTGCTTTCTGGCCTCTGCAGCGAGACGTGGAGGCATGGCCTTTGAGGTACAGTACCTGCTGGGTCTCCCTGAGCGGGAGAGGAATTTTATCCAGAGGGCTCTGGGCCTGGGGATCTGGGACGGCATTTTCCAAAACAACCTGAAGCAAGGGCAGTTCAAGTTCTCAGCTGAAGCATCAGCACCAGATCCCTTCTGAACTCCCAAACCCAAAATGAGGTGCTTCAGCACAACTCCCTCCCCAAAAACTGAAGGCTGATCTGTGTAGGTATCTGAGTGCATCCTTCAGAAGGAGAGCCTCTCTCAGGCTAGCTTTGTTTTAAAGCTGTTTTGAGAGCATACCCGTCTCAGGCCGACAGGTCCACCTTTGTGCTTTTGTGACAACTCCTGTCCTTGAACCACTGCAGCTCGCAGCTGCTGTACTGAAGCTCAGGTCTGACGATATGCCAGGAGGGATCTTCAGAGGCACCTACACCCATCCTGGATTTCAGCCTCCGTGCTGGCACAGCCGAGAATGGAGATCGCATCTAATAAATTTTAACGAATGGTTAAAAACACAGAGCCCGCAGGGGAAAGGGAAGCACTCCTCTCCCAGGTGGGGAATGGGAGCCAGGGCACAAAGTCAAAGGTGAAGAGCTGTAGGATCGCAGGGCACCACATCATCTCTGTCCCTGCTTGTTACCACCGTCCAGGCAGTGGGAGCTGATCGGCGTGGCTATGTCTGGGGGTGTTTATCATCCTCCAGTGGTGGAGCGGGGGCCGGGCAGAACAGGCAGTGCACGCAGCTGCTGCGGTTGCTGACAAATTTCGGGAACAATCACCGCCCGCTGCCTCTGTCAAAACAAACACAAGATGAGGTAAAAGGAAGATAGAGGCATCAATACCACATCCAGTACAACAGGGCAGGAGACACGTTTCCAACAGGGTTGTCCTCTGGCTCAGGAGGACACGAGGCAGGCAGCAGTGACCAGGTTCCTCAACCACACTATGCGCAGCTTCAGGCCAGGGATATGGCTGAAGAGCTGCTTGCTCTATCCACACCACAGAGTCCTAGCTGGGATATTTTATTTATGAATTAGAAAAAGTTTTGGCAGTTTTTTTCTTTTTTTTTTCCTCCTGATAAAAATCATTATTTTAACCTCTCTGGTATTTTTTTAAAGAAAGAGCAGGAGGATGAGATCTGAGGATCCCTGTTCAGTCTGGAAGCTCTGAAATGCAAGTGAACTTCTTTCCCTGTTTCCAAATATCACAAGGCAGCAGGAGTCCTATGCTAACCTAAGCAAACTCTTCTCTCTCAGATGCCTGTAAACAGATGTTAGCAATAGGTAGTTTTTATAACACCAGTCTTGAGTGATAATTTTCAGGGCTTTAACAAAGAAAAATATGAAACGAAATTAATTTCTGTCTCCTGCTCTCAGAAGCCAAAGCCTGTGTTTCGAGGGGGTTTCAATACAGTTGTCAGGGTCACATGCTGTGATAGCTTTTGGTTGCTCTGTGGCCCCTGTTGCAATACAGACAAGGATTTCCCCCATCTTCCACATTCCCCTTCCTACTCTGCATGTGCCCACAGTGTTTCTCAGACACCACTCTTACGGCCATTTTCCACAATATCTCCACAATGCAAGCCTTTGCCCAGCTGAAGATGGGCTCAGAGACCCCCTTTTTGTCCCTCCTGCTTCTCCACTTTGCACAAAGAGGCTGGGGATCTCACCCCTGACCCTCAATCCCAGCACATCTCGGATCCTGCCTAATGGTTCTCAGGGCAGCAAAAAAGGCAGAATTTCTAGTGCAGAAGAGAAAAACACTTTCCTTTTTTTAAATGTTGAGCTCTTCTTTTTCTTTTTGTTGTCTCTTGTGAAAAGCAAAACCCTGATGTGTCTTATTGCACCCCCTTTGCAGGTCTGCTCTGATTTGGCATGTGGAGTTTTCTCCCCCAGACTTGCAAAAACTGCCGTGGTTCATCTGAGCACAGCTAGGGGTGGTGGGAATGCGGGCAAGGAAAAGAGTGGACTCCAGCTGGGACAAAATAACTGCTATTTATGCAGCACCCACTGAAGCCCGATCTCTGCAGTTCACATCATCAGCAGATCCCTTTACACTGTGTCTGTGGCAATCCACCAAGCAGGCACACGTGCCGAGCAGCCACGCAAGTGGTCCAGCTAGAGATTAACAGAGCACCAAATCCCACACCATGCAATGTCTGCTGGCTCACATCTGCAGGCATTAAAGGGGAAAGAGGCCTCTGGGAGGTCTGGGACTTGACTGACTTGATCTGAGCCTCAACAAGGACTAATTGCCAGGAGGGAAAGACAGAAATATTCTCCCCATTGTGTTCAAGAACAGAACATCCTCAGGAAAGCAATTTTACCTCTTCTTTTTTTTTTTTTTTGTCTCAGCGCTGGCTTATCTAGATCGTGTCTGTCAAGGTTCTGAAGCTCACTAGCCTTGATAGTAAGGACCTCCAAAACACTGCAGCCATCAACAGAGATCTCAATTTAAAACTTCAAGAGTGGGGGAATGTAATGATTTTGCTCGACTGCCCAGGCCAGGCAATTTACCTTGCAGGTGTCTCCTGCAGTGGATGCCACCTGCCCGCTTGGCAGGTCAGAGCAGCTGCCCCACACGGCAGACGTTGGTGCAGAAGGGACTGTGGTCGAATTCTCTGCTAATGCAAGTGGGACAGTTCCTTCAAAATCTACAGAGCTGGTCCAGCCGAGACTCTGGCTTGAAAGCACCCTGAGAGGATGGCTCTGGATAAGGGTGCAAGTCCTCCTGGTGAATGGGTGGCAGTGTCTTGGTCTCTCAGACTGGCCTCTTCCCTTTCCCGCAACAAATAACTTAGGGGGAGCCATTCCTTTGAGAATCCATAGCAGGCATGTGGCGTTTCTCATGGAGGGTGGCTGAGTGTTTGGCCGGGGAGAGAGGGTGAGGACAAAAGAGCAGATACAGAAATGGCACATTTCTGAAAGCGTCACATCCACGGTCTGTATCTGTAGTGGAGCAGTCGACCCCTCCTCTTCCAAGGAGGCAAGGCAGGTCTAACCTGAGTTTTTATAAGCTTGCTCATCCTTTTACAAAGTAAGTGGTACCCCCAGACCAGTTAACTGGATTCTGAGTCCTTATGAGCTGACCTTGGACAACTGTAGCTGTAGCCTACTGCAGACCCAGCGTGGGTGGGTATGTAAAGTGAGCTCATTACTGCTAGTGGATTCCACAGAAGCACGGGTTAAAAGAGAGGCTGCTGCCTAAGCACAGGTGCCTAGCATCACTTATGGATCACTGGGATATCTGAGATATTAATGAAAACCTGGCAGATACGGTACAGAGTTTGTGCCCTACAGGAGGGCCAGGAAGGCTACCCCAGGGTCCCTGTGGCAGCACCAGGTGTCTACGTTTAGGCAACTGACTCCTGTCCCTCCGATCTGCTGCTGGGTGTGCAGGTGCTGGGATTGCTTTGCACTTTGTACGGCTGTCACTCAGAGATCATGCGATGATGTGGAAATGCTGTATGCAGCTACTAGAAATGCACACAGCAGATCAGTGCAGGAGTTGAAATACTCACGACTGCCTGTGTAAAAGCTGTCCGTTTTATTTCCACTGGCAGAGCTGAGCTGAGGTGTATATTGGGGTCAGGACTGAAAGCAGCCCTGGAATATCTTCCAAAGTAGGAGTAAATCATCCAGCATACTGTATCTTACCACAGATATGAGTCATTCCAGAAAGAGCTGGGTACTCCCAAATTGGATACCTTTATTCTTTTGGGACTTTTGGGCTAGGAATCTGCTAAGGGCAGACACTGGGATCAGAGGGCATGGCAGCTGGCAGAGGAGGTCATAGCTCCCCCAAAGCCTGTTCTTCATCATTCTCTAATTCTAAGAACATATCATGGATCTTGGATACATGCCTGCCCTCACCTGTGGTGGTTGCCATAATCCCTCCTCCTGCTGCCGAACCTGGCTCTGTGGACCACAAAGGCACTACTCCTAGTGCCTTCACGATTTCTCTTCAGCAGTAGATGTATTCCTAGCTCTGGTTGTTGGTACCAAGCCCCTCAAGCTCTGTAAGAGTCTGTGTAGGTTGCTTTTTGCTGGTACCTACTTTGAGGTCACCTAAGTGTCCCATCAGCCTTTCCCTGCTGCATCCACACCACAGTTGTTCATGCAGGACAAAAGCTGAAGGTGGATGTGTGGAGCACTGCAGAAGTGGTGGGGCTGCTGGGGGGGAAGCTCATCTGCAGGTGTGATCTCTTCCCACACTGTAGGACAATTCCCACATTAAAGAGAGCTCGGAGCTGGCAGAAATAGGGGAGCAAGGAATTTGGCTTGTTGTTATTACTGAGTGAAACCACAGGATTCTTCTGCCACATTTTTGTCTGTATGCAGGCGAATCTTCCACGTGAACTGCAAGGAGGCTTTGAACAAGTATGAAATGCAGATTGTAAGCAGATAAAGATGAGGATCTACTTCTTGTGCAAAGGATGGCACAGTAAGGGAGTTACTGGGACAATCGTATATGCAGTCTTCGAGGAAATAATAGCATAAATAATGAAACAGATACAGATCATTTGCAAAACCAATAAAGACAAGGGTACTCACACCCTGGAGCTGGCTCTCTGCTTACACCTCTACTCTGGGGTCTGTAAATCCGCGCTTGCCTTCATTAACCAGAGTGGGCCTCTCAGTTCTTGTGTGCCAGACCAACACCTAGAGGGAATCACAAAGAGTTCAGGGGCTCTGGATGCCATGGAAACGCCGAGAGCCGCGCATCCATCGGGTGGGATCCTGAGCAACCCAGGGCTTGCAGCTGTTTGAAGCATGAGATTCAAAGGGGTTGAACCTGGGAGAGACTTCACAGGCACATGAAACGGTGTCAAGGAGGAGGGATCTTTCTGGACCGAAATCCCAGACTCAACCCTCTGCCAATCCTCCTGGATTTTGGAGAAGCAGCCTGGGTGCGAATTGTACGGCTGAGGCTCTGTATTAACACAGTTAGAGTGCGTAGCACTAACTGGTCCTCAGCGCTCTCTGAGCTTCACATCTGTGAAGAATTTGGCAGGCTCTGCCTGTCTGTCCCAGCACCGTTTGGCGCTGATGTGCACCAGCGCAGGGCAGGCACAGTGGAAGGTGGGGGAGCGTGGCAGGTGGCTGCAAAAGCAGCCAGGACCCAGCAAGGAGAACGTATTTTCAAGGTCTCTTGTCCTGCTCACCTTTGTACAGTTGGCTGCTTTGGGCTCCAGCCCATCCATAGTCACTAAGTCCTTCAGCAGACTGGTTTCCTGGTAGCCTCCTTTGACTCCCTCCAGTTTGAAACTGGCCTGAGGCTTCTCCAAGATCAGCTTGATGCTGATAGCAAATCCAGCCATGTCAATAGCGAAGGGCCGGTTCGGGTCAAAGACGGTTTTCCAGCCCACCACCTTCCCTGCTGGGCTCACTTTTGGGGATTCATATCGCAGCCCCCCAACGAAAGCCACTGGCCAGACTGACACCCTCCTTGTGTAGCGCATCTGCGTGCCAGAAAGAAACAGTGCTGTGAGAATTCAACCCTGCAACGTTTGTCCCACCCCATTAGTCTACCATCATCCTCTGCTGTCATTGGCACCCGTCCTCCCCCGTTGACTTCCCACGCAACCGCATAGCTCCAGGCAGCACAAGTTCTTGTTCACCTGTGCTACTGCTTGAAGAGCTACAGCTTGCAGAGCCACAAGGCTGTTCTAGCACATTCTCTGAATGCCAAACTCACTGCTTCTCCATGCCCGTGTTTAGTCCCTCAGAAGGAAAACCTTTGTTTTCCTGCTCTCATCTGAACTTTTAATCATTTTTTGAAAAATTGTATAATTTTTGTAAATGCCAAATACAACTTCTACCGGGTCTCTAGCTTTGTATTATCAACTCCGCTCACTCCAACTTCACCCTCAGGCAAGTAATCTCCCTCCCTGACTGATGCATCTTTGTCCTCATTTACTGCAAATTCCCCCCACCCTTCGTTTTCCATCCATGGCTACTGCCTAAAAGAGTGGGGCTTTGCTTGAAACTGTCAGAAAGGATCCGGAAAGAAATGAGAAAGGATGAGCTTAACAGAGAAAATTCTGAAAACTGGAGATGTGTTCCAATGCATAACTCTCTATTTCAAGTGGTGTAGTACAGTTTGGCTTAAATTGGTGACAAGGGAGTTTACTGAATAATCATTTTTGCAAGTGTACAATAGACTTGGCATCTCACAAAAGCCAGGTTTCCGGCAGAAGTCTGGGCACGCTTCTGTCATCCCAGGGGCACAGCCCTGTTGTGGTGGCTGGAACACAGAGTACAGAAGGGCAGCCAAAGAGAAAAGGTGGATTAGAAAGTCAAACTTTTCTAACATCCCCTACCCATCACACCCCCTACAACAGCATAGATATATGCTTTGCCAGAAGTTTGTCTTCTGTGCTTATTTAAATCGGGTCAGCTCTTGCCGAGGAGAGGTATAAATTCTGGAGCGTGTATCCTCTGGTCCCTGGCAAAAGGGGCTCTAGCTGGTGCGATGCTGTGTGAGCGGCTATTCACGTCTGCAGCCTACACCAGGGCAGCTGTTCTCTTTGCTCTTTCAGCCGTTTAGAGCATGGCTACTGGGTTTGCATCCTTGTAGGTGCAGGGCGGGAGAGGAGGGCTCTAGGAAACATGCCAGAGCCCTTGTCTCCCAGTTGGTGCTAAAAGTCCACATGGTAGCCCTATCATAGAGGTGTTTGCAAGGGCACCTGGCCTTAAGAGGTTTTGTAGCTGTATCCCACTTTTCTACCCTGTGTAATTTTATGGCTCTTACCTCTTCAAAGAGCTCCAGGCTGTAGGTGTTATCATCATCGGCAAAATATACTACCCCTTCTGGTGGTGCGGTGTTGCTGAAGCTGTCCCTCAGCCAGTGCAGCCCCAGGTTCCTCTGTAGTGTCCCCCTTGGGGTGTGGGATGGGATCCAGGACAGCCCCAGCTTCAGACTCTTGGGTGTCTCCACATTGAGGTGGGTGAAGTTGAGCCCTGCCTTCTCCAGCAGGTTGGATACCAGGTTGGTCCTCCGGGGCGAGTCCTCCACCACCACCCAGTGCAGGTTCTGTACATGTAGAAAGGTGTTGGCCAGACGGGTCAGCTCAGCTTTTTGCACTGGCCGGGTGTAGGTAGGGGTGATAACGAAGATGGTCGGCAGAGTGTCTGACCATGGGGGAGGCCTGGAGTACACATAATTCTGGATGACTTTAGGCGTTACCCCTATGCTTTGCTGCTGCCGAATGCATGATGGGAGGCCTTCTTCTCTCAGTGCAGATGTACCATTGAGGAGAGCTTTGGAGGTGACGTTCTCATCTGTCTCTTCTGGGGCAAGAGGAAGGAAGGAAGAAGAAGAAGAAAGACATTAGAGAACTAATCACTGCCGGGCTGCTTCCTCTGCAGGGAGTGCTGGGGACACATCTGTCTGGAGTCAGTGCTCAGCACATCAGCATCCTCTCCCCAAAGCCACCCTAAGGTGCATGTTTAATGTGCTCTTAAGAACAGTTTACGTGCCTGCTGCAGGAAAACCCTGAGGGGGCCTTAAGGCAAGTTTGTCTTTGCTTAAGCCATCCCGTGAGAGAGCATGTCCTACCAAGGGTTCGCACCAGCAATCATCACAACCACCAGCAGACTGGCAGCAGAGCTCTCGTACTTACTTCTCAGCAGGCTGAGGTAGCGGGTGGTTGGGTACTGGTGCCACAAGGTTAGGAGAAGAGCCCATGGCAAGGCGATCAGGAGCGTGGTAAGAAGGTTACGTCTCCTCAGCATACTGCAGAGAGCTTCCAACGCCCAGGCATCTCTCTACCTTTCAGAGCAGAGAAAAAGAGTAAAGCCTCCAAAATATCAGTCACCACAAACACTAGGACGGTAAGCCTAGAGGCCAAACTAATAGGCTGAGTTTGGCTTGCTTGGAGGGAGGCATGATACCTATTGGGCCCTGATCCAGCAAAGTGTTTGTCTAAGTATAAGTTTACAAGGAGCCCGATTAACATTGCAGGCCCGAACCATTAACCAGCTGCCCTGGCCAATTCCTGTGCTATTGAATAGAAGTTTTTATTTATGTTGCTATAAAGAACCTCCCACCACCCCGTCGTGATGAACCCACTGTCTTTAGGGTTGTTCATGTTGCTGATTCTGAAGCCAGAGAGGACTGTTATGTGCCCCTTCTCTGGGACTGGTATTCATTCCTGAGCTTGTGGCAACCATTTGATTTGCTTCTTCTGTAAAATTTTTTAAAACTGTGTGCAAGATTTGTGTTCCTGTGTGTGCAAGTGGACAAAACAGAAAACATCAGGGCTCCTCAAGATAGCCAGCATCTCCTTCACTCATGCAGTTTTAATTCATCCTCCTTATGCAAATACATTAAGGCAATCAGTACCACCTACTAACTTTTCCACAAAATCCCATGCCTCGTGCCTGTATCGTTCCACAATGCTGGTAACACCTGCTGAAAGTTTAATTATTTCATATCCCTTTCTACTCCTGGCTTGCAGTGTTTGGCCACTGCAGCATTTAGTTTAAATCACAGACTTCAGAATGCTTTAATTTCTTTTTTAGCATTTCTGTAATGTACATGATCATAAGATCTGAGGAATCACATTTGTTTTCAAAAATCCTCCTGGAAGGTGAGAGGACCTAAAAGAAAATAAAGAGATATAAAGGACAAAAGTATCAAGAATAATCAAGAACAGGGGGTGGCTTATTTACAGACGGGCCAAGCCACAGTAGCCCTGTACTTGATTTTTCACAATTGTTGAGCACCTTCAGCTCCCACTAGTTAGCATGATTAATGAGCAGTCAGTCAGTCTGGAAATCAGATCCTTGGCTTCTCAAGATAGCCATGCCTTCAACAAAGTATCCAACATTAATGATCAGTTTGGAAAACACAGACTGAAGTACTTTGGCATCTGTTGCAGACCACTTGTTCAGGGACATAACTCAGCCCCATGTATAGTCACGGCGTGAGGAGATCCCAGTCCTGGCTCTCCTGTTTGAAAGACCCTGAACAGCCTGTGTGCAGCAAGTCATACAAGTGTGAGATCCCAGAGACTATTTCTGGAAGTCCACCATCAAATGGGCTTGCCTAGTGCATGTGCTGCCTTCTGTATGGCTCTTGGCACACTGTTTGGAACATTTTCCTCCAACTTCTGCTTTGGTCCCTCTCTGTGTATAAAATCTCCTATGCTGTTAGTATACACCAGCAACAACAGCAGTGCTCCAAAAACAGGGATCCACTTCTGCTGCTGCAGAACAGCAGCCCACAGAAACACTGAAGGGCACAGAGCAAAGTTGCTTGTTACCATCTGAGGACTTTCTGCTGTCCCTCTAAGCAGGTTGCCTGATGTTTGATAGCTGGATTTTAATCCCCTGTCCCTCCTGGTAACATCTGTAATGCGTTTTTTCTTTCCGATGCCAAATACTTCTCCTGGTGGACTTCCTCGCTCCCTCAGCGATGCTCACTAGGAGACTAAAGGGAGCATAAAACTTCCGTAAGCCTCCTGCAGAGAGCTTTCTGTTGGGAAGCCCCGGTAGCTGGAGAGCTGCTGGATGGCACAGCCCCACCAGGCCCTCTTGCTCTCCTAGGCTGGAGGCAGTTTGAGGGAAGAGGGCGATGGCACCATACTGATACAAAAGGCGGAAAGCGGGTTCAAATTGGTTGCCTTTAAATTCCTGCTCTGCCAGGGATTTCCTAGGTGCACTGAAGGCCAGTTGTCTAAAACCAAAGCCCTCAAAGAGACATAGGCACATTGAATGCAAAGGAAACTCCTTTCCCAGGATCTGGGCCCAGCAGCTCTTCATCTGTCCAAAGGGGAAGAAGGATTGCCCCGCTTTGGCCTTAGAGAATCATCTAAGAAGAAACACAACAACTGGTCCCAAAGGGCTCTGCTTTGCAGTGGCAGCAGCCACACAATACTCCTGGAAAGAGTCAGGGGATGCTATTCTAGATCATCCTCTGGGACCTTCTGGGACCTGCCTTTTAGTTTTTTCCCCTGACGTTTTACCTTGGTCTCCTGACAAAACAAGGATTACGTGATTGCAGGGCGCTTCAGTGCCCCGCCGCCAATAACTATCAAACCCATTTTGGCCAAATCTGACAGAAGACCAGCATGCCTCAGCAAGTCTTCTGGCAGGCAAGAAGATACTCACAAGCCCCGTTAAGGAAATTGCTGCAACATGAGCTCATTCCTTGTTAGACACCAACGGCACCACACTGAAGCAATCCCTCCAGGGAACCTACCTCTGCTGATCCCCAAAGTGACTGTTCATGGTAGTCATCTCTAAAGCTTCTTACCTCCTCACTCAGCGAACACCGTGGTGGCTGTTCCTCTACTTTCGAGCTACGGAAAATGGACTGAGAAGTGGGGCCAAGGGACCTGTGTGGCCAGGGGCACACAGGAGTGTTTTGGTGAAGCCCCCAGAAGCCTTGTGCAGCAAACACGCTGGCTCAGCGTATCTTCATTGCTTTCTGATGGCTGGGTCTCGGGCAGGCACAAGAGCCTCTTTCAAGCTTTAGCGCTGAAGGCATAGGCGTTTGGTAAGCCACAGATCTAGGCTGGACACAGGGCAGGATGATGTTACCCACACCAGGGGCTGCTTTCCCTCCAGGAAATCCTTTCCCTTAGTAGCATAGCAGCACAGAGACAAGCTTCCCATCGCTCAGGGCCATGAGAACAGACAGAACCCCCAAAGAAATCCAAGGAGGGCTCCGCACCGCCTCGTAATGGCAGCGACCTCCTAGGTCCACCCGGGCCCTGGCTCAGGGTCATCACAGCTCCTTGCTTCCTCTGGGATGCCTGCAATTACAAATGTCCCTGCACTAGAGTCAGGCAGGCAGTGTTTTTTCCCTTTTATAAAAGCCCTTAATTGTACAGGCGCAGTTTCTATGCAGCGGGCCTGCCACTGCTGCAAACTCAGGTCGCTTCTGGAGGGAAGGAGAGGAGGAGGCGGCGGCAGTGGCAGCTGTGTTACCAAGAGAGCAGAGAAGAGAGTTGGATCGGAGTTAGAAGAGCTTTAACAAATTCCCTTTCTAGTTCTTTCTCCTCCTCCTCCCCACAGCCAGCCCTGTTCATGCTTCCCGAACACTGCAAACAAGCAGAGATGCTGTCTGTGTGTGCAACTCCCCTGGTGCTCCTTGCTCATTTATTTCTACATGCACTTTCTCTCTACTGCTTTTCCAAAGCATGCAATGCTGAAGAAGTTAAACCCTGCATAAAGCACCAGGTCACTTGTGAACCTCACAGAGGAATCTGACTTCAAGGCCGATTTCAGAAAACCTGTCTTGGAATACTTGATTTTCGCTTTGAAACCTTACCTTCTCTCCCCCACTGCCGCCCCCTACATCCATCATGCTTGTGCTCTTCTCTGTTCCTTTACATCTTTCACCTGCCTTTTCTCAGTCCTAAAGAGTCTCTCTCCTTCCCTGTTTCCAGGACTCGAGGAATCCCCCCGGCCTACTAATAATTTTGGCCTTCGTCTTCTCTCCTTCCCCACACAAAGGCCCTTTGCATTTTCTTAATGTCGACACCGCATGGAGTATTTTCCACAAAGTGGTCCATTAAAACATCAGCCCATCCTCCTGAAAACCCAGCATCAAAACCCAGTCACACGTCAATGCCTCTGGGTAGCCTGCTGATGGCCCCAGTGGGGCTTATGGAGGTTTACTGCACATATTTTTACCTACTTTTTGTAATTAAAACCAAAGTCCCCTAAGTGGCTCAGATTAATTGCATGCCTGGCTGGCCAGCATTACTGTGTGTATTCTTGGCACAACCAGCTACCTTCCTTCTGCCTTTAAACCCATTCAGAATAGATCCTATTAAATGAGATTCAAGATCAGAAGAAAATTTTGTGATCATCTAAACCCATCTCCAGCGATCATCCTGTAATTCCTGGGTTTAAGCTGTAGTGGGCAGGGACTGTCTCTTAATGTGCTTGCACAGTCCTGCGCTGATCCCAACAGGAGCCTTTGGATGTGATTGCAATACAAATATTATCGATTGTACTCTCTTGCTGGCTCTCCTCCTCCCTTGCTATTTCCCCTGTCCTGCCTATTGCCCTTTCTCCTCCCTCTTCTTTTTTTCCTAGTGTCTCCTGCAGCCCTTGTTTGTGTTACACACCCCAAACAACATTAGCTGGATGTTTGATGGATGCCTTCAATATGCTGCCTGTAGCCTTCTTGAGCTGTTTTCCAATTACACATCCCTCTTCTTAATTTCATCCATCAATCTTTGGTTCTCCATTAAAAACTAAACAAACACACACACAGAGCACAAAGCTGAGTACGATAGGGACAAAATGTTTCTCATACTACTCTTGCTTCGTGCTGCTTTGTCAGACTTCTCAATTCCTGGGACACAACAGCATCCAGTCTCCATTTAAGCTCATGTGCTGTTGCAGGGGGCATTGATCTGAAAGGATTTGGGAGAAGCGAACAAGAAAAGCACATGGGGGAAGAGCCCAACCCCAGCTCGGATGCCCCAGACCAATGCTGAAGATCTGGCTGAGGCTCAGACCATCACGTGTGACCAATCCCTTCATCTCCTGTTGACTAACTACCAACACAGGGTACAATTTGCTACAGCCAGGGCAGCTCAGATGTTGGGAGAAGGATAAGGATTTCCAGGCTGGAGAACAACCCAGGCAGCCTCACTGTTCAGGTACAACTTTAAGAGGTCACGTGTGTGACTTTCTCCCTGAGTTGCAGAGTAGTTCGAAAGGACCTGTTGGGTGAACGGTAGAGAAAGGTGAAAGTTAGGGAAGGGCCCAGCTGACCAGGGTTTATAAGGCTGACG